AACTTAATTCCACTTTCAGTTTCAGAAAGTATTTTGCCAGATATATGTTATGATACGAATGCTGGTGTCCACCCCTGCCCTAATTCATGTGTTGGAACTGAACCCCCAATGTGTTAGGCTTTTGGGTGTAATTAAGTTACGAGGGCAGAGCCACAGAAGGCCTCTGTTAGTCAACTTTCCATCTCTCTGACAAAATACCTCAGATAATCAACTTATAAGGAGTAAAGATTTATTTTGACACTTGGTTTCAGAGGTTTTAGTCCATCATCAGTGGGCTCCATTGCTTTGGGGCCTTTGTAAGGCAAAACATCATGGCAGGGAGCACATGGCAGAGGGCTGCTCACCTCATGGTATTCAGAAAGCAAAGAAGGAGAGGAATGGACGGGGGTTCCAGCATCCCCTTTAAGGGGATACCCCCATGACCCAACTTCCGTCTACTAGGTCTCACCTCCTAAAGTTCCTGCCACTTTCTAATAGTGCCACTCTGGACCAAGCCTTCTACACATGGCTTTTAAAGGCCATTTAGGATCCAAACCAAAAAAATTGCTCTTATAAAAGAGACTTGGGGGCCCTGCTTGCCTTGTCTATGCACAAGGACAGAGAAAGTGCCATCTACGAGGAACAGACTCTTTTCAGACAGTCTGTTGGTACAAATCACTTGGCACCTTGACTGTGAACTTATCAGCTTCCACAAATGTGAATATTATGTTTTTGTTATTTATAAATTATTTGATCTAAGATTTTCTGTTATAGCAACCTGAGCCGGCTGAGCTAACACAATATTTTATTTTGGTTTAACAGAACTTTTTTCTTTCAAGAGTCTGTTGTCTTCCAGCTTACCATTGTCTTAACGGTAAATTTGTTGTCATTCTTATGTTTGTTTCTCTCTGTGGAATGCATCTGCTTTTTCCTTTGATTATTTTTCAGATTTACTCTTTTTCACTATTATTAATTTGGTTGTGATTTGTTTTTATGTGTTTTCCTTCATGTCTTTTTTTCGAGTTCATGAAGCTTCCTGGATCTGTGGGATTATATTTAACATAAAATTGAGAAACATTCTATTAGTTAGTCAAATATTTTTCTGACGTTCCTTTCTCTCATAAATTTTGTGTACCTTGTACTTCCTGATTTTTGTTCCATTACTATTTTATTAATCTTTTTTTTTTTTTGCTTCATGGGCTATACCTTTAAATTCAATTTTTTTTTCTCCTGTGGCATTTGCTGTTACTCTTGCCCACTATATTTTTCATTTGATACATATTTTATCTTCAAAATTCCATCTAGACACATATATAGTATTATGTATATATAAATATATATTTCTCAAACCAATATGCCCATGTTTCCTTCTATTTTCTTGAACATTAGGGAAATTATAATAGTTCTATTATCATTCCTATTTACTAGTTCCGCTGTAAGTTTTTTCTGGATCTTTCTCAAAGGGCTGGATTTTTTCTTGGTTAAAGTTTTTTTTGGGGGGTGTGGGAGGCCCTACCAGATATTGCACTCAGAGGTACTCTGCCACTGAGCCATACCCCCATCCCGATTTTGTATTTTATTTAGAGACAGGGTCTCACTGAGTTGTTTAGCACCTTGCTTTTTGCTGAGCTTGGCTTTGAACTTGCTATCCTCCTTCCTCAGACTTCCAAGTCACCAGCATTACAGGCGTGCACCTGGCTCCTGTTAGCTTTTAATTGGGTGCCGAGCAGTATAAATATTACATTGTTGAGTATTGGATTTTGCTATGTTCTTTTAAGAATTATGAAATTTTGTTTAGAATGCAACTAATTACTTTAGTGCATTTTTTAAAGCTTGCTTTTAAACTCTATTATGAAGTAGATCTGTAACAGTGTTTGACCTACAGCTTATTTAGCCCTGCTATCACAGTGATGTTCTTTTAAAGAATCTACCTAATGTCTCCTATACTATTAGATTTCCAGTATGACTGGTCAGAATGAGAATTATTTATCCCTGGTGGTTCTGAAATTTGTAGATTATTTCATCTTTTGATTTCTGGTACTTTCTTCCCCTGCCTCAGGTAGTTACCTCTTACTGAGTATAGATTAGTAATCAAATCTTATAGATACCCCTCTGCATATCTCTGTGTAGCAACTTCTTTAATATTTTGCCCAACAAAATTCTAGCTGTCTCAGCTCTTCTGATACCCAGCCTCTGTCTTCTCAACCTGGCCAGGTTTCTGAAATATTTATATTTTCTCTGCTTAGACTCTGGCCAGAAAAATGACTCTGGGCACCAAACAGGAACAATCATCGGGTTTCTATCTTGTTTATTTTCTTCTTTTGAGAGATAAAAGTCCTGTATTGTCTACTGTCTAAAGTTGGGGATAAGTCATTTTATTTATTTGGATTATAAGTTGTTAAAAATAATAGGGAGATTCTCGTGCTGATTAATTCTTTCTGAGAAGAAGCATAAAACCTTATTCGTATTCTTAAAGCTAGAGTATGGATTGGTCCAACCACAAGGATTAAGAGTGAAAAAAGAGGAACTTCAAAGAAAATAAAATTATTGATTTTTCTTTGAGATACCAAAAAAAGAGGGATCATGATGATAAGCAAAAGAACTGTAACATTATAGAATTAGAAATTCTGCTAACCTTAATTACTTACCTAATGTGTGATGACTGAAATACCACAAAAAGAAGTTCATTTCTTTGGATTAAATTCTTATTTTAAATTCAAATCAAAAGCAAATTTTTCTAGAAGAGTAATAATTTTAAGTCTTATAAATTATCCAGGGTGAATAAAAGTATCATTTGGTAAAAGTCATTTTTTATATTGAAGAAAGTGTTAGAAAGTATTAGACCAGGGATTCCAAGAATAGGAGAAGTTCAGAAAATGGAGCCTGTTTAGTTGTATTCAGTATCTAGGTATAAATTTTCATCTAAATGTAAACTTCCTTCCACTGCAGCTGAAAATTAACACATTAAAATATTAGTCTGTTATTGATCAGAATAATATTTACAATAGATACTACCGCTCTTAAAAGCAGACCCTGACAAGGTGCTGGCTTTCTATTTCTGACATGGCTAGAGGCTACAGATGGAGATTTGCTGGGTCAAGAGTGACTTTTTTTTCCCTCTGTAACAGAATTATTAAAGTATAATTAAAATGTAACCTAATATGTTTAAAAGCTACGATTTGATACCTTCTGATATCTGGACATGCTTATAGAATGGTAACCATAATCAAGATAATAAAATTCCCAAGGCAATAATATGCTTTCTGTCCTTATTGATCTGGATCTCTTTACTAGAATGATAGGTAAATATAATAATATAATAGGTGTTATATTTTGTCTAGATTTTTTTTCCACTCAGTATTATATCTTTTGAGATTCACCCATTTGTTTAGTGCATTGATTTCTCTTGTCTCAGGCAAGAAAGTTCTGCATTGTCTAACTCAGGCTTTAATTGTAGGTTTGTCTATGTCTCCTTGCAGATACATCAGTTTCTGCTTTATTTTAGTTTAAATTCTGTAGTTGGATGTATAAATGTTATGGTTGCTTGGTCCTCTTGAATAATTGACCCCATTATCATTACAAACAAGTCCCCTCTATCCCCTCAAATATCCTTTGCTCTGAAATCTACTTTGTCAGATATAAAATAACTGTATCAGCTTTCTTTTGGCTACTGTTACCATGGCACTTTTATTACATGTTTTTATTTTTAACCTATTTATAAATGAGTTTTTTAGAGGAAGCATAGAATTGGTTTTGTTTATATACATAATGATAACCTCCACCTTTTAATTTGTAATTTTACATAATTTATATGTATATTTAGCTTAATTTTCCCCTCTTCTTGGCAGTGTCACCTATCATATTTTGAAGGCAGAAACTGTTACAGCTTCTAATTATAATTATTTTGCTTTACTTTGATTCCAGCCTAAAGAAGCAAATTTGATAATAATTTGTCAGCCCACATGTTTTCTGCAGGGATATCATGCATTGGCAATTAAGAACTACTATTGAAAAAGTTCTATTTCTCATTGTGTATCTATCTGTTCGTATTCCTGGTTGCATGACTGTCTTTGTAATTAGTGCTAGCCCAAGAAACAAATCTTTTGTGTGTGTGTGTGTGTGTGTGTGTGTTGCTGGGGATTGAACCCAGGACCTTATGCATGAGATGCAAGAACTCTACTAACTGAGCTATATCCTCAGCCCCCAAGAAAGAAACCTTTGTAAGTGTGGTGAGATCCTTCAGAGCTAAGGTTTGTGCCTTTGAACATGATTATTCCACTGAGGCACAACTGCCCATTGAGGCCTCAAATGGGTGTTCTGTCTTTCCAGATAGTTCTATTTTTGCTCTAACCATAACAGAGTATGAGTCTATACCAGTATCTCTTAAGGAGTGGCCTATGGAGCATTTAAGCATGAGAATCATTTGGGATTTCTGGGCCCATACTTAGGCTAATTGAATTTATCTGTTACATGGGCCCCAGAAATCTGCATTTTTAGGAAGTTTTCCAGGTGATTCTTATACATACTCAAGTTTGAAATCCATTATTCTAGATCATATACTTTGATAAATAAATTTAATATGCATCCTCAGTACTTATAATACTATTTACAAAATTTATACCTATAATGGACTTTTAATATATGTATTGATATTTTATGGAGATCATAAACATTGTGAAAATAACTTCTAACATGTTGAAATTGAAAATATGTCAAATGGAAGTTCTAATATTTTATTTCTACATCCAATGGATTATATTTGTATCCTATCACATTGCAGACTCCTGTTCAACCTTGGGGGAATTTGCTAGAATGAGGTGTATTTTCAATAACTTTATATAAAAAGGGCCAAATCATACACTACAAATGAATGGCCCAACTATTGATTTATAGGCCTGATGATGTCTAGCTGTACTCCAAACCAAATGAAAATATGAATCTGGTTTGGAACTTAGGAATTAGCATTTTCTGATCCCTGTGTGCTAAAAAGGTTGAAAGCCTATTAGAACGTTGCTTCTTACATGTCAGGATGCATGAGAATCACCTGGAGAGCTTGTTAAAATATAGATTCTTGGGATCTTGCAGTTCGGTGTAGGTGGGGCTGAAATTTTGTATTTTAATAAGCTCCCAGGTGAAGCCGATGTCATTAGTCCAGGCTACAATTCAGCAGTGCTGTTTCACAGAGATGGTACAGCTTCTGAACTTTTAGGCAGATCTTCATCTGTGAGAGTAACATACAGCTCTTAGCAAATTAAAGTTCAGATTCAGCCGATGCTTACATTAATAAATTTTTCCTTTGGAACAAAATTATCACTTAAAACAGTTTAACTGTGACTCTTTCTTAAGTTTTTAAAAAAGACCAGTTATCACCCATCATATACTGGGTGATGCTAACCATAAATTTTATGACTGAAATAAAAATCATGGCCATATGCTCTTGATATAATGACCAAGACATCTAATGTCCAATAATAATAAGTAAAAACTATGATGCACAGTAAAGGAAGTTAAGTGAATTATTCCATCTACAGAATTGAATAATATGAAAACATCAACATACCTTTCTTCCTTTCCTGATGTTTGTGTTTCTTGGTATATATATTATACGGTACAGGTTGGAGCCTGATTCCTATGATCGATGTTAACTTCTTTCTCCTGATTTAGGCCTTCCAAGACTTCCTTGGTCCCAAGTCTCACATCTTGTTAGGCACAGAAAGCAGGAGTGAGGAGAGAGCTGTAGCCTTCTAGTTTTTCATCTGTGTATGTCTAGGAAAGGCATTTCAGAGCTTCTGGGCCTGTTTTCCTCATCTATAAAATAAGAAGTCGGGTAGATGAATGCTTTTAGGTTCCTTTTCAGTTGTAAAATTGTCTTCTCTGTTGTTTCACAAAATCCTAGACTCAGAAAAACAAGTTGCTTATTACTGAAATGGTTTTGATGGTTCAGTAATCCAGTACATTAAAAAAAAATTAGTTCAAATGCCTAGGTTTCTGGAGCTTTAGCTTTTTAGCTTTCAGAGCAGAGGAAATACAATTAAAATGGTATAGTTTCATGGTGACTTTGCTTGATCCATCTGTGGCTAGGAAACCTCTCTGCAGATTCTACTTGAAATGATTAAAATTATCAGTTTTAATCATCCTTTGGCAAAACAAAGGGATTCTGTCTTGCTGGTAAAAAATATATTGTTCCATGATAAATGCCCACGTGACAAATAGATTTGAGAACATTATTGTTAGATTCAAAGAAGGAAGATTAGGATTTTGAATAAAGCTACCTAGTGAATGGCTGGTTACCCTTGTACAGAGACTTTGAATAACTGTCAGGAACCTCTTATGAGGGAGAACTTAAAAGGGTATGGGTGTGGTTTATTACTGGTTTAAGGATTAATGACTTAGTAACATAGTTGTTTGTTTAGGAAAAAAATCAGAACATTTTAGGTGTTTTAAAGAAAAAAGTACATCATACATTCATTTAAATTACTCAATAATAATTTCACTTCAGATATATTTCCTAAGAAATAAGATGATAAAAGCTGTATTCATGAAGATGTTAAGGGTAGACTTAATACCCACAATGGGAAAATAATGGATGCAGTCTAATGTCCAATAATAATAAGTAAAAACTATGATGTACAATAAAGGCAGTTAAGTGAATTATTCCATCTATAGAATTGAATAATATGAAGCTATTAAACTGAATTACTATGGTGATTATATAACAAAATGAAAGAATGGTTTTAATTTGTTAACTTATAAAATCCAGGTACAGAATATGTGCTATAATAATCACTATAAACTTAGTGGGTAAGATGAAATTATATAATAGTGGCAGTGTTAGAATAAAGATTTTGGATGACTTTTTCCTTTAACTTTCAAACTTTAGATAATGTTGCTTTTATATCTTAGTGCAATCAATATCCTATGAAGTTTATATTTAATACTTGGAAAAAAAGATCAAAGGACAACATTTTCAACCATCCTACCTATACTCAAAACCAACTGCATGTTTTGTGACCTGGGTGAATTGGATAAGTTATCAACCCCTCCTCTCTAGCAACTACCTTATAGTTGTACACATTTAATGAATTAATGTACATTAAAAACACTTATGAGCATATGAGATATAGTAAGTATTATATAATTGCCATTTATTTTTGTTTAAAATAATTGTTAGTTTCTATTAGTGTTACAAATACATGAGAAAATCGTATATAAAAAGAAAGTGTTTGTTCTGGCTCATCATTTTGGAAGTTTCAGTCCATGACTGGTTGACCCTGTTGGTTTGGGCTTGTGGTGGGGCAGCACATCATGTGGAAGTGTCACCTCTCGGTTATTTAGTGCTGGGCTAAATAACCGAGAGGTGACAAGCAACTTGAAGGTTGAAGTGGGAACTACTTTATTGCGAGTGAACTCAGCAGGAACTGAGCGGGAACTCAAAGTAGCGGGCACCTGAGATAGCAGGAGCCGCTTTATTGCGGGACAGCAGAGGTATATATACCCAACTGATTACACACAGCTTGACTCAATTAACATCATCTAGATACAGCAGTCAGACAATAAGGAATCCTCACCATCTTAAGGGCTCGCTGGCATTGCTTCACAAACCACTCCTCCTGGCAAACTGCCAGGCGCCATCTTGACTTGAATTGCATCCTCAACATGGAAGAGAAAAACCACACACCTCAGAACTGGGTCTTGGAAGAGGTCTGGGTCCCATAATCTCCTTTAATAACACTCTCCAAAGGCCTAAGAGCTCTCACTAGATCCCCAAACCTCTTAAAGATGCCAGCACTTTCCACTAGCACCATGCTGAGGACCAAGCCTTCACCAAATGGACCTTAGGGAAACATTTAAGATCCACACTATACCAACCTTTTATCTTGTTTTATCTGTTATTTCTATTCTCTTGATAGAAGCATTGATTTTTTTCCTTTTTTTTTAAATAAAGAGAATATAAAATTTCTTTCCTCACCATCTGCTTCCTCTGACAAATATAAGTCTATTCCTCCCTATTCAAGAAAAATGATTGGCAGGCTTAAATACATTTTATGCAATTTTTTTCTCTAATCACATTATACATTATATATTGAATTTCTTGGAAAGTGTTATACTGTATACTCAGATACACCAATCAAGTTACAGGTACTCACTAGAATATGAGCCTTCAGTAATTATCAGTGGCGACATTTAACTTTTGTTCTTGCTTGATTCTCTGAAGTCACAAGAGAGTTGTTTGGGTGTCTTTGACATTTTATGGTCTTGGTTACCAAATGAAGAAAACTTATTTTTTAAATAATAAACCATTATAGGCAATTTCATTTCCCAAAACACTGACAGTCAGCATCTAACTTTACTTCCTAAAACCCCATCATAGAAATTTAGTTGCCATAGTTTAGGAAGTACTAGAGAAAAACCCAAACTCAAATACATTAAGAATCAAATGCATAAAAAAATTGTACGCAGACTTTTTAAATGAGAAAATAATTTGAATATTTGGAAATGGATGAGATCTAAATAAACATTGGTAATGACTTGTAGATATTCCTAAACATTTAGTTAAAAATTTCAGACCAGAAGGAGATTGGAAGGAAACTCCTATTCCCACTGCTCCTAATTTCTAGTTTCTCAGAGGCAGCCATTTTTATTGTTTCTGTCTCCAATTATTATTATTATTATGCCCATATATTTAAATACTGTGCTAGTGCTTCTACTATGATTTTTCAATTTGTCAGTGTTTTCTAATCTGACAAAATTGTTTTGCTTGGCAAGTTCCACCACTTACAGATAATTACTGGTGTATTTGGAGTAACTTTTACAATCTCATCTTGTGCTTTTTTCCTCCATTTAATGCTTTCCTCTCCTCTTCTCATTTCTGTCTTCTTGGATTTATCAAGATTTTTTTTTAAAGTTCCTAGTTTTTAATCATTTATTTGCTTCTACTACTTTAGAAATTATAATTTGTCTATCTGATGGTCACTTAATTTAACAAGCTCATATTGACTGATTTTCATGTTGAACCAAATTTATAATGCATACAACATATAAATAAAAAAAACTTGGTCATAAAATAATATTTTCATACATTGCTGCTTCTGAGATGCTAATATTTTGTTTGGAATTTTTTACATCTGTTTATGAGTGAGATTTGTCTATAATTTTCTTTTGTTTTACTATTGTTATTAGAATTTTCTATCCAGATGATATTAGTTCTTCAAATCCTTTGAATCAGTTGAGACTTAAAACACTTTTTCAATAATCTGGAAGTATTCGTATACAATTAGAGAGATTCTTCCTTAAATGTTTGGTTGGTTGAACCTAACAGTGAAATAATGTAGACCTGGAATTTTTTTTGGTTGAAAGTTTTAAATTACTGACTTGATTAATTTAAAATTAAAACCTATTCAGGTATTTTATTTCTGTAGGTATGTATTTATTTATTTACTATATCTAACCTGATGAAATGTTTGAGGAATTTATTTATATCTACACATTTAAAATTTTTTCTGTTATATCTGGAATGGTGTCAGTTTTTCATGACCAAAATTGGTTCTTCCCTGCCCCCCAACACACACACTGAGTACTCTGCCTACTGTGTGTTTGTTTTCTGTTTTGTTAACAAAACAGCTTTGCCCCCAGGATCTGGCATGTCTATTGGATATTCTGAGTATTGTCTTTTGTCACAGGTGGCTGTGGTGGCTTGTTCATTTGCCTTTCAAAAAATGACCTCTGCATCTGCTAGTTTTCCATGTGAAGAAAGTTCTGAATTAGATGAAATAAAGGCAAGCCACAGACAACTCAAAACACAGAAACAGGATTCCCTTGAACAAAGCCCAATCTGCTCCCTCTGGTACCAGTTCCTCACACCAGAAATGTGGGCTGCTGTCTTCAAGAAAGTGAGCTGCTGTTGCATGAGGGAAAGTTAAAATACCTCAAACCACCTCTCCTACTGTGTGTATACTGCCTTTTTCTTGACTAACCGTTCCCTTGACTGCTGTAAACCTTTGATTGTTTTCCAAAGTTCTGATGAATTTGATTTTGACCATTTTTGCCTGTTTTTTGGGGGGCCCATCTTTGTTTGAAAGTATTTATCTTTTAACTTCTGATGATGGATTCCTAGATCATTTATCTAAGTCCATACATATTTGCTACAAAATATTTCATTTGCATCTAGTAATTTATTTATTTTTGTCCCAGGTATTGAACCAAGGGGTGCTTAGCCACTGAGCTACATTTCTAACCCTTTTTATTTATTTTTTATTTAAGACAGGGTCTCAAATAAGTTGCTTAGGGCCTCTCTAAGTTGCTGAGGCTGGCTTTGAATTTCAATCCTCCTGCGTCAGTCTCCCAAGCCTCTGGGATTACAGATAGGCACCATCACACCCAGCTGTAAATTTTGATAAAAAGTATTTTTCAGTTTATACAAAGAAGTGGATCTTAGTGGAGCAAAGGGCAGACTGTTGTGGATGCTGTGATATGTTTCCTAGTCCCCCTTCCAGAAGAAAGCACTCCCTCACCTGCTAAGAGTCTTTCTGGCAGTGAGCTTCAGCTGTAGGTCTCCTTCAGGTACCACCTTGGATGATGATATTTGCCTCACTCAATGTCATGCTTCTTTCTTTGGTGTTCTGTATCCTCTAGATTGACATGGGATAGAATTCCTAGACCTTCTCTCCCCATCTTAGGGCAGTGCTTAATGAACAGCTTCAAGATACCCTATGGAGTCTGCTGATTTCTGTTCAAATTTTATCTCATCAAGACTTTTGGTTCCACCCAATCCTGTTTTCTTTCTTTTCTTCCCGTAGATTCTGATTCTATGAATACTCTAAAAATCCTCTGGCAGAGTAATCTGTGTCAGTCCTCTCTGGGAATTGAACCTATGAGAGAAGATTCTCTGGAGGAAATGATATTCAACCTGAGAACTAAAGTAACTGTATACAAAAATATGTACAGGAGGTCCTGACAGTTCATGTAGTTGGGGGCTAGAGATGTGTGCATTTTTATGTGTGTTCCAGTGGCAGGATGGGGAAAGAATGGTGGTTTGAGAGAGCTTGAGAAGCACATTTTGACTAGGTCACTGAAGATCTTATAATCTACCCTGAGAAATTTTGGGCCTTAGATCCTCTTGGGAACACTGGAGCTGTAGGAGGTGGGAACAGGCACATTGCTTAGAAGAACTATGTAGAAACCGTCTTCCAGATGGAATTCAAGAATATAAGGGAAGCCAGATTACATTCAAATGGTAAAGATATTAGTATTCCTTAAAATGTGAT